AAAGACTTAACCTACTTCAGTCTGTGCACTGAATTTATTTAATACACAAGTTTCACAATTTGAGTTGAATTACGGAAATAAATTAACTTTTCCACGACATTCTAATTTGAGATGCACCTGTATATATGACAAACAGTATGTAATATTTATTAATTTATACTGTTTTGGTTTAGTATTTTCATTTTAATAATTTTTCTGTATATACTTATTTTTTAATATTCATATATAATGCTCAATAAAATCTCCCAGAAAAACCATACAGAATATTAATAATGTTCCTTAATTTTATATCGACAGCAAAATAATTTCAAATACATTGTGAATATACGATATCGCTCAGCTCTACTATTATGAAGGTCAGGGCTTCTTTAGACTGAACTGTGTTCATATAAACCCTCGGAACATACTTATCTAGGAGGTGAACATCTCTGTCCTCAATGTCTCTCTGTTGATTGCTGAACTTCAGCTGTTGAACCTGTAGTGCTTTTAGATGGGTCAGGTGCTTGAGCAGGCGCTTCCCTTGATGCTGCGAGACAGGAGTTTTCATTTAACATCCTAATAGGTCAAAGAAACTCTTCACATAAAGATGAAAGTTCTGTCTCATGTTGTTGCAAACTTGTATGACGAGGTGAAAGTCTGAAAATACAACAGCACTGCTGTCCTGTCTTTCCCAGGTGAGCCTGCCCAGATGTTCACTGTCCTTGAGTCTCTTTCAGCAGATACAGATAGTTTATAATGTGATATCGTTTCTTTGAGACCGACTGCCACGAATGCCTGTCTTGCATGAATAGTCTTGCTGACTTTAAGACTTGCATTTGAAAGACTAACTATGTGCTCAGATGCCATCATTTTTTATTTGTTTTTATTTTTCAGTCTCAGAAGCAGAACTTGGATTTGAGCAGGCAGGCCAAGTTTGCCTCCACACCCTCGTTCGCCCTGTTCATCACACTCAAGAATGTCGTGTGCAAAATCGGAGAAGATGCAGAAGTGCTGATGTCACTATATGACCCGATTGAGTCCAAGTGCATCAGGTCAGTGCACAAACATTTTTTTTTAATTATATTTATTTAGTTTTTTTATTTTTATTAGTATTTTATTATTTATTTTGAAAAACTTTATATACATTTTTATATTTTATTATTGTTACTAATTATTATATATTATATATAGTATATTGTAAATATTTTTAATATTTAAAAAATATTTTTATATTATTTAGGCCAATTTTAATAATTTGACAATACTTTAACCCACATTTGGGAGCCTCAGTGTCCAGTAACCATGATGTTTCACATCCTCAGTAGTAAATCAACCACAGCATTTGTGCCATGCACACAATTCTCAATGGTTTGTTTCAGCAATAAATTATCATGTTGTTGTATTCGAGTGTGTCATTATATTTTCATTAGCATTTGTGCTATATATGTGTTCACTATATGTGTTCATCGGGAATAAGTCCTATGCTTTTGAAATTGCTACTATGCTGTGAAAATAATGTCATTTAATATCTATATATTTTTTATTTTCTTGCAGTGAAAACTATCTTGTGCGCTGGTCCAGCTCAGGTTTGGTTAAAGACATCGATCAGCTCCATAACCTGCGTGCCGTATTCACAGTACGTATTATTTTGGGCTTTACTTTTGACAGTATTTATTAGGGGTGCTCCGATTGATTGGCTACCGATCACTTTCGGCCGAAAATCACGTTGGGATGATTGATTGGCAGTCTCTAAAAAGGCCGATCTCAAAAAAACGTTCTCAAGCTGATGATGCGCCTGCCGTGAGAGGTTCGGCACGACATGCAGCGTCACCGTCTCAGTCTCTGTCCGGCGCGGGTGAAATAATTATAATGCTGAAGGTGAGGTACTCACCTTCATATTTCTTCATTAAATATCTTATAAAGTAATTTGAAAACCTTGTGTGAGACGTAATTTCACCGCGCGTGCTCTCTCTTTCTCTCTAAAAATATGCAAATCTCTTCAAATCACCACACATCGCGTCTGTCTATAAGCGAGCTGCACAGTTCTGATGATGCGCCTGCCGTGAGAGGTTCGGCACGACATGCAGCGTCACCGTCTCAGTCTCTGTCCGGCGCGGGTGAAATAATTATAATGCTGAAGGTGAGGTACTCACCTTCATATTTCTTCATTAAATATCTTATAAAGTAATTTGAAAACCTTGTGTGAGACGTAATTTCACCGCGCGTGCTCTCTCTTTCTCTCTAAAAATATGCAAATCTCTTCAAATCACCACACATCGCGTCTGTCTATAAGCGAGCTGCACGGTTCACACAGGAGTAGTCACTTGCACAATCGAGGCAGTGTCACATCGTCACTAAAGTTTATAAATTGCATTACTTTTTAATTCTTGCCAGTGTTTAACCATTCAGCGACCGGTCACATCGCTGTGGAGAAATTTTGGCCCACTCTTCTTTACAGAATTGTTTTAATTCAGCCACATTGCAGGGTTTTCGAGCATGAATGGACTGTTTAAGCATCTCAATCGGATTTAAGTCCGGACTTTGATTTGGCCACTCCAAAACCTTCATTTAGTTTTTCTTGAGCCATTCAGAGGTGGATTTGCTGGTGTGTTTGGGATCATTGTCCTGCTGCATAACCCAAGTGCGCTTGAGCTTGAGGTCACAAACTTATGGCTGGACATTATCCTTCAGGATTTTCTGATAGAGTGCAGAATTCATGGTTCCGTCAATTATGGCAAGTTGTCCAGGTCCTGAAGCTGCAAAGCAGCCCCAGATCATCACACTACCACCACCATGTTTGACTGTTGGTATGATGTTCTTTTTATGAAATGCTGTGTTGGTTTTACGCCAGATGTAACGGGACACACCTTCCAAAAAGTTAAACTTTTGTCTCATCAGA